AACTCCTTCGATTTATCGGACCTTTGCTCTCCTCTGACAATGCTTCCGGCCTCTCCCTCTACGGTGCGGGTCAATTTTCAATCGCCGACCCGCCCAAGTTGTGACCAACTCTGGTCCACGCCTAAACAAGCCAACGACAATTACCTGGCTGATGATAATTCTTCCACCTTCCTCGATCTCTCAGAAATCGATCGACACGTCCTTCAACTACCTCCACGCTCATTTCAGACAGAACGCAATGGACTAAATTCTTCACTAAAAACTTTGAAACGACCGACCTTCCTCTACTGCCTATCTTTCAGACCACAGTAATGGCAAGGCACTCCATCGCCATGTTGGTAAAGATATTTCTTTTCATGCACTTAAGAGCGGTTACGGTGCATCATCACCGTACAGAATGCTACTAGGCTCATGAGCTCTCTCGTCTTTCCCCATATCTGATACTGTTCCTTCCACTCTTGAAATACATCGTTTCCTTCAAATTCTTGTAGTGGTACCGTCATTCTGCCCCATACCATAGTTCAACAGAATTTCCAGACATGGCAACTGACATTCTTGAACACTGGAACTCCAAGATCTCCCCAATCCTCAAGGTAGAACACTTACGTTCTTCCTGGCCCGCGGGCGAGACGATACCCTAGCTAATGTGGCACATTTAACTTTTGACAGCCGAGAACTCCCATCCTCAGTTTATATAGCAGACAATCGGTTACAATCCGAAAGGTGATCCCACAACCGCTAACAGTGAAAATTGCTGGCGATTTGGCCATCCAGTGAAATATTGCAGATCTATCGCCGAATGCCCAGTCTGTGGTGCCGATGACCATTCTCATACGACTTGAATCAGATCTCCCTCTTGCCTTAACTGGCCATGAGGCTCACCCTTTCGTACTCTCAGCCATTGTCAATTCTATTTAGAGTTAGACGAGCGGGAAATCCGTTACCCTCAAAGAGACAGAAGGTCTCCCTTATAGCCATGCAGTATCTCATCTCCGCCCTCCAAGGAGACTGCCCACGATGTTTTCTTATTCCCGTGTTTCAAAACGTCCCCACCCACTTCTGGTATCCCATCCTCTAAACAACCCACCTCTGTGGATACCTACTCCATAGTCACTCCTGGTATCTATTTCCCTTTTGCTGTCGCAGCTCAGACTCCTACTTAACGCCTCAGTCTGATCTTCGCTTCTTCGAGTTCTCTCACAAGCCTCAGTAAACGACGAGATCTCGTATGAACACCTCCTCCCAATCGTCCCTCTACTACTCAAAAGTCAAAAAAAAGGTCCATTAAACAGCTAACCTCCTACCCATCTTTCACCTCCATCATTTAACCCTCCCTGTCTCTTCCCAGGTTCTCCCCCTCTCACTGGCCTCTGTTACAAGTTGTAGAGGTCACCCTCCTCCCTCGTACTGGTACCTTCCTCCCCTGTTCCCTCCCCAGGTTTCTTCCCTCTTCTGCCACCCACTCCCAGTTTCTGCTCTTCTGTCCCCCTTTCACGCTTCTCCATTCCCTCCAACCTTTCGCCCCCCCCCCCCTACCTTGTACAGTCCAATACAGTTCCAATCTTTACTCATGCCTCGCCCCTAACCATTTCCAATATTGTCTCCCATACGACGTCTCTGAATTCCGAAACACTTGAAGCAAACCTGAATATATTGCAGAGACCAAACCATCAATGGACACTCATCCACCCACTGTACCTTCTCTTCTCCTCTCCTCCAACTGCGCAACTCTTTTCATTCACAGCGCACCGTTCCTTCGCTGCTTAACGTTTTCCACTGCCTCCGCATTGGACTTTTCTAAACCCCTCTAGGTCCATAGAACCCTACCTGCGGATTTCAAGTATCTTTATCATTGCCAATCATGGCCTTTTTACAGTGGAATATACGCAGCCTCAGGGTAATCGGGTGATCTTCCAGATGTTACTCTCCCAGTTTCCCTTTTGGTGTGTTTGCTACAGGAAACCAAAATTCACACACTGCTGTATCTCTCCCATCCCCAGGCTATAATTTATTGAATTCACTTCCAGATCCTTTTCCTAATTGGACCTTTAATGAAAAGTGCACCTTCTTCTACGCACTGCGATATTCCGAACCATCAGCTATTTGATTTACATACTTCGCTACATTACACAGCATCCCGTATCCTTCTTACATAGGTGGTATACGCTCTGTTCTGTTATATCTCTTCTCCTTCTCGCATTAATCTATTCCAGATATTGCCTTTCTTGTTTTCTCAATACCCACCGCCACCGGATTCCTGTTACTTGGTATTTGTAATGCCAGACCATTTCCTCTGGGGGGGGGGTCTCACTGTGATTCCCGTGGAATTTCAGTTAGAAGTTTACTTGCCACCCAACCCCTCCATGTTTTAAATACAGGTACTCACACACCATTTATGATCCTCGGACCATACTCTCTTTTGCTCAATCACTCAGTCTGCACTTCCCTCCACACCGCATTAGACTTCACTGGTCGTTCTCCCGGACCTTTACATGACAGCAATCATTTCCCAATCATTCTTAAGACTTCCCCTTCATAATCACCACCTCTTCGCATCCCACTCTGGCAATTTGATCGGGCCAAATTGGAACCTTTACTCACACCTAACTGTTTTTTTAGAGCAGGGTTTGTGGGCGTTCTTCTTCGTCCTCCATCGATGCTTTTACCAACCTCTTCTCGTCCTTCTCGTTTTAAATCGCAGCTCTCTTCATACCCCAAACTTCGGGCAGGCATTCTCCAGAAATGCGTGCCTTGGTGGTCTCCTGCCTTGTGCACGTGCAGTACTTTTGAAACAGCGCTGCATGGGGCAGTACCGGTACAATAGAACCAACAGAGAACTCCTTGATTTTAAAAAAAGAACCGTGCGATCGCTTGTCCGTTCATCCGTGACGCTAAAAGCACTTCCTGCGAGATATGTCTCCACCTTCACCTCGCTTCCACTATGAGTGGCAGTACTGGAAAAAAGTACGAAAAACTGATGGTAAAATATTCTCCTGACCGCCGGCATCCTGTTCTGCGTGTTGCCGTGTTGATATAGCAAACCCACTAGATGTTGCCAATAGAAAATTGGCAGTCATCTGTCCCGTATTTCTCAGGGACTCCATCTATCCCCTCATTCTTTCCTCAAAGTCTGCCAGAGAGTTAGCACCCTTGGACTTTTCTTCTCTCAAGAAGAATCAGTATAATGTGCCTTTTACACTTCAAGAACTGAGATCGGCAACACTCCTCAGCTTGCCGATGCAGAGGCATGCTGGGCCCCGACGACATTCATATTCGTATGCTACAACATTACATCAGTCATCCCTTGCAGCCTATTACGCCTTTACAATCTTATTTGGTCACAAGGAGTTCTTCCACAGCTGTGGAAATCCGCCATTGTTCTCCCTTTCCGCAAACCAGGCACTACAGGACATGAACCTCCCACTATCGTCCCATTGCTCTTACCAGTGCAGTTTGCAAAGTAATGGAACGCCCAGTAAATAGACGGTTAGTGTGGGATTTAGAGACACACAACAGTTTTCTCCACTCGTCAATATGGTTTTTATAAGGGACGTTCTACCATAGACCCCTTACTACGCTTGGATACGTATGTTCGTAATGCCTTTGCGAATAACCACTCAGTTATTGCCATATTTTTTGACCTTGAGAAGGCATATGACACAACTTGGAGGTATAATATTTTAGCCCAAGCCCACTCCTTTGGCCTTCGAGGCAATCTACCATCCTTCCTTAAGAACTTTTTAATGACAGCATTTTCCCTGTTCGGGTTAATAATGTGCTCTCCCCCGGACTTTATCCAAGCTGAAGGTTTTCCCCAGGGATGTGTTCTGAGCACAACACTTTTTCTCCTTGCTATTAATGATTTAGCCTCTAGTCTTCCATCAAATATTTGGTCATCACTCTATGTTGATGACTTCGCTATTGCCTGTGCAGGCGCTGACTGTCACCTCATTACAGTTTCTCTCCAACATGCAGTCGACCGTGTTTCCAATTGGGCCACCACATGTGGGTTTTAAATTTTCCAGCACTAAAACCCACCCAAATTACTTTCACTAGACGCTCTGTCATCTCCGATCATCCTTTGTACCTCTATGGCTCCCCTATCCCTGAAAAGTGATACAGTCAAATTTCTGGGCTCCTCTTTGATCGTAGGTTATCTGGAAACCTCACATTACCCCTTGAAGGGAACTTGTCACAGCCGGCTGAACCTTCTTAAAACCCTTGCTCTTTTCATGGGGAGCTGATCGTCGAACCCTCCTCCCCCTACATTCTACCCTTATTTTATCGAAACTTGAATTATGGTGACCAGATCTATTCAGCGGCATCTCCTGCTACTCTCTCTAGCCTTAACCCCATTCCACCAAGGTTTTTTTGCCCTTGGGGGCTTTCGCTCTTCCCCTTTGGAGCCTCTATACAGAAACAACGTTCCATTTTTTC